GCTTAAAAAAAGTGACAGATTGTTTGTGTAAGAGCAGTGGCTGCTCTCCATCAGATTAGATAAGGGCGTGCGAGTCGCCAGCTTTATCAGGGACCCGGCGGGTGTTGATAGTAAACTGGACAGAGGTTTCACTGAATCACCGTGTCAAAAACAACCCAGTTGGACCACATGAGAAAAAATCTGAACTGTTTTTTGTTTTTGTTTTTTTGCCATGTTTTCTCTTCTGTCTGTTTATTCAACTCCTGATGGCGATGTTAGATAATCTACTCTCCAACACGCACTGTATAATAAACAGAGACCGGAGCTGGATAAATGGACAAACCCATGGCAAAGTTAGAGCTCTTCTGATTTTGTTTAAGTCAGAACTGTTTTACCCAGAGCAGTTCTGATTTAAACAAAAAAGAAGCAACTAAATGTCTGAAAACCGCAGAAAACCAAAGCAAGAACGTAATATTGGATCACAGCACAAACCACAAATACAAAAAAAAAAAAAAATACATTCTAGAACTGTTTAGATAAGTGTTAGATTATTTCAGCCAAATGACATTCACTTATGCTGGAGCTGATTCTGGCTGCAGTCTGAGCTCGACTCTGTCTTTCAGCTTGCAGCAATATGATATGCTGTGAATGTACCAGATGAGCACAGTTTTCATTGGAAAGGCCTTCTCTACAAAGTCTTTCAATGTACTTACATTTTAAACAAAAGCAGGGGGATTCAGCGCAGAACCGTGTTTTATTTAGGGAGGTACTTTACAGAATAGTGACCTCAGGTCTAACTCACATGCTCTACTGTCCTGAAGCCATCATGACCTGTAACTTGTGTGACATAAACACCGTAGTCAGTAGCTTCCCCTGGACACCACCATATTCAGTTAGGTCCATCTTGTCTCTTAAACTATGGAAGTATTGTAAGCGGCAAGAATACCTTCGTACACAACTTGATTAACAAAAAAAACATTGATTTTTTTTCTTACATTTTGGACAAAATGAGCGGCTTTCATACACGAGGTCAAAATAAATCACCAGGTCCTGATGCAGCAGAACACTGCAAATTCCACACCTTTAATCCCAATACGCAAACATCATTCAGAACAGGTCCGCATAAAAGAGCAACATGCATCCTTCAAAGATGTGACAGGTCAAGGAATCCTCTTTTTTGGGGGGGCGATTTAGACCCATGTAAGGTTTTTCCAATACAGCGGCTTACGGAAAAGACAGAAAAGCTATTATGTTAAGTTTGGGATGCCAACTGGAGAGAAGTGCATCTTTGGAAAAATGTTTTCCTAAAAGAAAGCATGTGTGGCTTTCTTTTGGTTTGCTCCCACTGACGCTACCGTCAGAAAAGTAGAAAGGAGAATCGCACACTTTGCAATTCCGTCACGTAGTCTGGCTCTGGACCTGTTGCAGAGCAGTCTGGGCTCGGTTGTTTGTTTTTTTTTCTGCTGTTGATCTGGAGCTAAACCGATGTTTCCATGACGTGATGGTTTGTCGTGAATGCACTGATGACTGCAGTGGAAGAATCATTTTGAATTCCACAGTTGTAGATTTTTATTCTAGAAATATTTGACAATATTTCCTCAATTACCTGAACCTTGGGCTGGCTTTGGACCTTAGAAATCAAGTCTTTGCTTGAATAGCATGTTTGTTCCGTTTATTTTAGACAGATTTACCTCTTGAGCTCTTTGTTATTAATGCCTTCCTATTTTTTGGGTTGGGATGTGTTACAGGTAAAAATTCTGGAGAAAAACAAATCATGTAAATATTTCAGATTTATGCTGTCAATATTAAAAAATAAAAGTAAAGATAGAAAATACATTTTTAAAAATGTGGATTTTTGCACCACTATTGTAGATCTATATGATTAAAAGAAGTGCTGCTCAGATTGAAACAATTTCATTATCAACGTGTTGCTCATGTTCCCAATAGCATGACAGAAATACCTTTATTAACAGCAATGTATTGTCTTGTTTTGACAGTAACCATTGACACTCACTTATAGCGTTCCATTAATAATGTTTATTTTACACATACACTAACACGTAAACAGCAAGGTCATTGTGCCTGCTCGGTTAAAAGGATAAAAAGCAATGAGGCGGCTGGCTGGCAGCTAATTAGTCATGTTCACTTTCCCACGTTCATTACATGGAGGTCATGAGTGGGCTGTGGGGATCAAAACGTAATAACCTCTGCTGTCAGGACTGGAGAGGGTCCTAGAGAGGGACCACCTCCTCTCAGACTGGGAGAAGTAAAACATGAGGAAAGATAAAGCACATCATAAACAGTAACGGCTTGAAAGGAAACAGGTGCGGGGAAAAAACAGGAGCCGATTAAGGGAAACGCATCCAATGCTGGGAAAACCATGTGGACCTCTTAGATTGTTTTCACAGGTTGTCACAAAAATTTTTGCAGAACCTAATTTGACTAAAATTACAGCTAAATGCAAGGGCGCCCGCGCATGCTTAAAAAGTCTTCATTTCATGTATCTAAAATTATGGCTCTAGAATGTCTTAAATTCGTTTAAGATCAAAGTAAGTTGGCCTCAAATATGCTAATCACTCGTCTTAAATGTCGCCATGGCTATTTAATCCTTTACATTCAGGTAGATTCTTTTCCTGTGGCACGTTTCTATGAGGTTGAAGTTTGAGTCATGTGCGGACATCTTGACGCTAACTTGCTGCAGTCTCTGTTACGCTAATTTATCAGCAGTTGGCTGGATGACGTCACTTCTCTTGCCAACCCATGCAATGATACGACATGAACTCTGCAGTCGGAGGTTTTGTGGATTTTAAACATGGCGTTGAGCTGCTGAAGAATTTTATTCCTACAAAGTTGCCACAGGCAAGAAAAATACAGCTGAGAAAGAGGAGATTAAGGAAAAGCAGTAGAGCGTGGAACCAAGAGAACAGAGCCGCACATGCAGCTGTGATGACAGATAGGGAAAAGATTTAGGTCAACTGTGATCAATGTCTTCAACTAACTTTAAGAATGTGGCAAAATCTATCTGACCTGTACATTTTTTTATAATACAGGTCTTAAATGTCATTCTTAATGGTCTTCAAAGGTCTTCAGAAGTCTTAAATTTGAGTTGCACTGTAAATGTCTTTATAACTCGAGATTGAAAGCTTCACCTATTGTTCTTTACAAAGTGGAACAAACTGAACATCCATTTTAAGGCTCTCCACAGAGTCTCATTTAGTCTGGACTTTGACTGGGCCGTCCTGAAACACATATATGCTGTGATCTAAAACTATTCTATTTTTGTGATGACGAAAGGTGAATCCTTCTAAATTAAAAAAAAAAAAAAAACAAGGAAAACATGAAACCCTTTTTTATTTGGTCTTTTACAAGAAATCCATCAAAATGAATGGAAATTTGTATTTTGTAACGTGACAAATTGTAAGAAAGACGTAAAAAGAAAAATAGCCAGAATACAGCTGATCCAAAGAGGATGTAAAGCAAAATACAGAAGAGACGCGCTGGCACGCTACAAGACGCTTTGATGAAAGCTGCTGACTGACTTTCCAGGATGAACAAACTCCTTGTTTGCTCCGGCTCTTATCCAAAAGAGCAGCTCAGACTGACACTAATTATCCATAATAACATAGAAATACCAACACGGGGATTCTGGGAAGTATTGAGAATGACTGAACTGTGTTTTAAATAGTTCCGCTGCTGTTATCGGGAGATGCATCTCCAGAGGTCAGAGGAGGGAAGGGGGATGAAGACACACGCAGTACCCTGCAGGCGGCTGGAGAATGTGGGAGTGTTTCAGAAATGTTTTGGGTCGGAGCGTGATGCAGGAGATGCTCGATGCTAGTTTTACACGTTATTTGACTGTCTTGACTTCATGGGAGGTATTGTCTACTGATAGACAGAAACGTGGTTAAATATTTTAACTTGTCGTTCGTAGCCATGTGACATCTTCACAGTGGGAAAGAGTGGGAAAAGTGGCAGCAGACTGCGGTTTTTAGTGCATATTTAAATGACATATCACAAAATGTGGTCAGCGTTATTTCTTTGCCAGCATGTGTCCAATGTCCCCACGGCAACCAATTGCTTTACTGGGCGATGGTTGACAACGTTCACTGTTAATTCCATCAATTAGTAGGCCTAGGAGGGAGTAGGCCTGTCGCAATAAGCAATAAATCAATTCGTCACATGACAAATTAAAACGAGCTCAATAATTTCTACTTGAACAATTTCTCGATACTCTTTTCTCTCTTTCTAGCAAAAACTGGATGACTGAAGTCTTCAGCCTGTTGCTTTGGTCTCAAATAGCTCCTTTTTTGATGTGAGGTGAAGCCTCCATGGATCTGTCTTGCAGGATTAATGTCGGAAACTACCGCAAATTTTCAGGAATTTTGTCCAGTCGAGGTATTGGCAGCTCAGGACAGACTGGCACTTTTAGGCTGATAGTCAAAATGTTTTGGCTAGTAGGTTTATTTCCAAACTACTGCTGTTCTTTGAAAATGAGTTCAATGAAAGCGTTTGCAAATTTTGTCTAAGCCTGTTGAGTCCAAGACAAGGAGAAAGTTCTCTACAGACTAAAGTCATTCCTGCTTATTTCTACCATTTCCTTATGTTCATCTGGTTGGATCTATTGTTCGGTCACAGAAGGAAAACCTTTTCATAATGGGCTTCAAGGCAAAATGCTGGGAGTTTGCTCCAGTGAGTTTTTATTTTTTATTTTTATTTTTTAAAGATAGCAGTCCAAACACAACAATGATATGGTAGACTGTGTATGAGATTCAGTGGGGGCTGGTCAGCATTGGATAGAGAACACAATGGCAGTGTTTGTTTGAAACCACAGTTATCCTGAACTGATCTGACATCTGCACCCATTTCTGGAGTGCAGAATAACAGCCGAGTCCAAGATTTGAGATATTCATCTCAAAGTTATAGTTGGGCCTCGCAATCAACTAGTGCAATAGATTAGTCTTGATTTATTATTTTTGGGGTTTTTTGGGGGTCTTACCCGCATTTTGTTCTTTGTCCAACAGGAACTGGTGTGCTTATGTGGTGACGAGGACAGTGAGCTGCGTTATGGAGGACGGGGTGGAGACGTACGTCAAACCAGACTATCAGCGCTGTTCGTGGGGCCAGTGTCCCCGGATCCTGTGAGTATCCACTGCCTTTTTATGTCCTCTGGTTTCCCCTCTTCGCCAACTACAACATTAGCATCAATGTTCATCCTTGTCCTGCTAACTTCCTGTCCTCTGAATTTACATCCTCTCTTCATCCATCAGTTTCCTGCTTAGAAAAACTCATTTCCCTCAGCAGTTTTTGTTTCTACTGCCTTATGAGTCGACGGGAGGTTCTGGATGTAACTGAGCTCACCATATGATCTAACCTCAGGGTGTCATTATCCAGGCGCTAATGGCTAACGTTTTATGCTAATGTCTTACGAGTATGAAAGAGGGTGGACACACTGCTGAGTTTCAGACTCATTCAATGAATTAGAATATCAATGAAATGGACCATTTATTTAAGGAACTTTGTCACTACTTTATATAGATTAATCACACACAGATTGAAGTTTGAAAGCCTGTATTTCTGCTAATTATAATGATTTTCTGCTCACAGTTGATAAATACACAATGTTTGGAGTTAGCATATGGCGTCCAACCAATAAAAAAGCATTTTTGATACAGAGTCTTGGTGAAAAGTATTTTTAATACCTGCTTAACGGTTGTCAATTTTCAAAAGGTACTTTTAATCTGACAAACAATTGTTTTATGTTGCATATTTGAAATCTATTCCAGCTTTAGTGTGTCGTATTCTGTACAAAATTAACGTTTATTAGTCTTTGAGAAGGATGATGACGTTGTTATGCCATTATCAATATATTACTGGAGAATGGACTCAAATTGACAATATTATCATTTATCGTAATAATTTCGGAGACAATGTATCATCCAGTAAAATCTGTTGTTGTGACAGACCTACAGAGAGACATCAAAGGAAACAATTAGATCGGAGAACAGCCAAAATGGTCAAGATAAAGCCAATGATCAACCAATGATCAAGGTGATAAATGAAGGTCTGTGGTTACCATAATGATTAGAAAGTGCCTGTGTGAAGCAGAGCTGTAAACAATATGCCCCGGCAAACTCTCACTGTGGAAAAAACAACAGTGGCTGAAGAGGTTTCAATTTGCCAAAGAACACACTGACTTGGCTAAAGACAGCATTTTATGGATAAAAGCAACAGTGGCCTTGTTGAGTCTAGAGACTGCAGAAATGTTCTCAGATAAAAGATTTTCAGTCATGGTGGCTTGAGTCTTATGATATCCATATGATATTCTCATGCCGTTGTGTTGGGTTTATCGTTCACATATATGGGATCATGAATCGGTTTACAAGGAGACATCAAAGAGGAAATGCTTTCAAGTGGATGTTTGAACAAGTAATCCAGTGAACGAGAATCGTCTTGGTTCCAGACCAACATGAGCAATGCTATGGCGTGACCGATCTATCCCAAAATGACAGTTTATTGGTCTTTAAGAGGCCAAACTTGTTTTGTTATGCATATGGCTTTTATTTGGAAGCAAAAGTTAGTACAAAGTTTTTCAACTGTACTCACTTTTTCTAGACTCGGCGCTATTGATTTAAACCCAGCAGAATCATTTGAAGGAAGTTTTGCTGCAGTTTATCTTTTGCATGTTTCACTGAGCTGGTCAACCTATTGCTTTTGTCAGTTTTAATTTCTTTATCATTTATTTTACGTTGGCTGTTATACTTCTAATTGTAATTACTGAACAAATTACATTTGTGTTGTTTTTACATGTTTGACCAAACTTGTGAAGTTATTGGTGTATTTCAGTGGCTAAACCTCAGTTGTTTATGTTGGTGTGTCAGAAATGAAGAAAGTGGACCGTTGCACCCATAGTGCTTAGATGGAGTAATAGGAGAAGATTTAAGAAAAACCACACAGGCATCATAGGATCATGTTGCAGTGCAGAGACTTGGAGGTCTAGTCTAGTCTGCCTCCTGATTCGCTCCCAAAACTGCAAATCCACCACCAGAAATATGCTATTTTTGGGACTCTGCAAGCAATTTTTCCAAATGTGGACGTTGCGCTCGCATGAAAATCGTTACTCAAACACTGTCTGTGTTTCACCTCTTTTGAAGTTCTCCCTCTGTTTCGACCTTGACCCAGCCGTTTGATCCCCAGGCCTGCCAGGGGCCTCGGCGTAAACCCGGACTATGCTAAGAATGAAGCCAGTAGGGGCTCCAGGCACCACAATCTAGTCTTTCTTCTTAAAAACAATCTCTTCTTCATACCCTGGCTCTCCTCTGGCTTCTTTCTCTCTCTTCCTTCAGCTCCATAAGGCTCTCTCTATGCTTCTCCTCACAATGATTTATTTTTCCATCAGCTGACCTTTTTGTCACCTTGTTAAAACAGCCTTTGCAACCTTCAAGCCTATTTATGGATTGATACAAAAAGAGGATAAAAGTGGATGCCCTGGTCAGTGTGCCTCTAATGCCGCTTGCATCATGTATTGATATTTCTGGCTAAATCTGTCCTGTTTGTGGTACTTTGACTGCAACAGGGAGACTCTTTCAGCGTGGAGTTGAATGACACGTTCATGGGAAATCTGCAGCAGCGAGTTCCAAATAAAACATTTTACATATTTTTGGAGACCATTTATGAGCCAGTAACTCTGATTTAGTGTGAGATAAACGGAGTGGATTTCTGTTGGAAACTCATTGAGAAATAAAAGAGGCAGGAAGAACATTTTAAGCTCCGACAGCAGAGGTTATCCTGTGTGTCGGCTGATAGGCAGCCGTCTGTTCTGTGGATGCCAACAGTGAGCAAGAAAGTCTGAATGTTCAGGAACAGTTACGGCCTACGGATTGGGATACCGGGATCCCAGTGATGTCGAATTATAAATTGAACAAAAAAACAGGGAAATACATTTGCAGTCTCAAAATATGCCACAACTTCAAGCAGTTAGAAACGGGTACCAAGCCCGACTCAGCAAGTCTCTCCGCTCTTTTGAGTTATTCCTTATATTGGCAGTATTATGTAAAATCCACGTTTTTTTTTTTAGCTTTACATCATGATATGTTGTTATTTCCTAATCAAAAACCTGGAGTTTATTCTTTCACACGTTTGAAAAAAAATCCTTGAATCTCCATGGCAACCTAGCCCCCCTTTCAAGATACCTCCCCATCCAAGTTTCCAAGCCTCCTATCTTCTCCCCCACTCAGCTCCTTCAGACTAGCTTTTTATTGCTCTATTCCATGAAATGACTCAGAAATTAAGCCAAATTTGTGGCTTTTGCTGGGTTCTGTAATATTCCATTCCCAGTCGCTAAATTGGGAAGTGTTGGAAGAACGAAATGTTTCCTCCAATCAGAACCAGCAACGCTTCTTTGTGTTGGATCACACAAAAGTACCCCTGAAGTTACTTTCAACAAACAGTTTGATGAATAATTACTTCTTTTTCTGTCATCTCCAGTTACCGGACATACAGGAGGCCGAGGTACAAGGTAGCGTACAAGATGGTGACGGAAATGGAGTGGAAATGTTGCCACGGTTACTCAGGGGAAGACTGCCACCAGGGTCCGCATGGGACCCTTGACACTCGGGTCTACGGAGGGCAGACACAGACACCACAGCCCGGTGGTGGAAGGAAGGGCGAACAAGGTATAACGGTTTTAATTCCGTTTAAAAAGTAAAAAAAAAAAAGCTTGACTTCATGCTCCGTTCACATCCAGACTCTTTTCTTTTTCTCGATTTGAGGCGAGAGCGAGAGAATCCAGGAGCTGCAGGACACGATCACCGGACTCAAAAAAGAACTCCATGACATGAAGACCACCATTGACGGCATAAACCAAAAGCTGTACGTGAATGTTGTCCATCCATCAAGTGCGTGTGTTACTGGTGAAGTGCCGTCACCTGCAGGCTGCCGTCCTGTTTACGCCAAACCGGCCAGCACTAATATGTCCGTTTCTCTGCACTTCCTAAACCAAACATCTGTGCATAATTTACAATGTGTCAGTGTGTGTGACTGTTGGCCAGTTTTGGAGAGCAGACATCCTTCTCTTCTCAAATATACAGACTGGAAGAGACAAACAGTTCAATCTGAACAAGATAACATGATAGCATGTAAATAAACCACAGAATTAGTGGCTTCCTATTTGTCCACCTGACACTTCCCCGCTTCAGAAATGTGTTTAGAAGAAGTCGGACACTAAACACTTAGGTTTAGTGTTTTGTCACCGATCTTGATTTAGGTCTACGGACCGCTGCATGTTCTAATTTGCAGGCCCAGCCTGAACGGGGCCACCGTTCCTGCAGATTCAGCTCAGCCGTTCATGAAGGAAACCATCAACACCATCCAGACCAAGCTGGACCATCTCTACAACAGAACACAGGTGACCTGTAACATCGGCTTTAGTTCTGGTCTCTACGGCATTGTGCAAACTGAAATTACGAGAATGAATTTGCTCAATGGCATATTTTCCATCAAGCAATTTCGGAAAAAAAACTCACATTTTTCACTGGTGCTCTTTCCCAAACATAACTCGGTAAAAATTATCTTTGGAATTCAATTTGGTGTTCGTTTTATCTTAGCGCCTTTTCCCACAAGGATTTTGCTCTGGATGCTTTCTTTGGAAGACATGGCCTCTGTCTTTCAACCCTGCTCCTTAATCCAGACAGATAGACAACGCAGTAGATTGTTGTCAGATGTAGATCACAATCAGTACTTGTCAGAAATCTGTCCAGATCCTTCAGTATTATAATCCACTTTCTGTCCCGGGTTTTCATCACTCTCAGAGAAGCTTCCAGTTTGAGGAACGTCCCTGTTGTCCAAACGTGATGCAAACGTCTTTTTTGTCCAAAAGCTGATAAATGATCAAGTCATTCAAGAGAATGAAAAACTGCAACACAGCAGCACATCTACAAAAAGCCTTGTATTCTTGTTATGTTTAGTTTTTGTAAGAAAATTATCCATTCTGACGTGTTAGACTTATTGTCCTCTATCTTAGATCAAACCGTCCCCAAACGTTAAGAGACGGTTCGGATGTGTTTCTGTGCCCTGCTATTAAAATATCAAAAACTAAAAGCTGACTTTTGTACCATCCACCATGTCTGTCGCCTTAATTAACCCTGTAAGTCTATCACAGGCCATAATCTGATTCTGTGATTTAGGTCCACGATGAGACGCTGCTGAACATCAACAACCATTTGGTGAATGGAGGGGGAAATGAACTGGATGGAAATGTTGGGCCAGGAGGAGGAGGAGAAGGAGCAGGGGACCAGCTGAACATGCTGAAGGAGGAGATCCTGACTGAGCTGGAGCGAAGAGTTTCTCTGTCCTGCTCTTCATGTCAGGTACAGAAAATCAGACTGTAATCAGAACAAAAACCTATTCAGGTATTCAATTGTTCTGCTGCAATGATTATACTGCACTGCTCATGCAGCCTAAAGCAATAATGGAGTCATGCAGAGTGTTATGTATATAAAAAGAAACTTATAAAGGCACTGATAAAGTAAGTTAAAAATAAGTTAAAAGTTGGAACGGCAATATTCAATAGAAAAGTGTTGATTATATTTGCTATTTTGCAAACAGTGTTGCTCTTTACAAGATGCAAAAGGATTTAAACAAACAATGTATGGCACAAAAGAGAACAGTTTGTGAGTCTCTAATATAAGACTTAAGCCAATACTTTCAAGGGAGAGAGCAAAAAAATAAAAACTTCTGACATCTAGTGGTCTATAGTAAGATAGCAACCAACTAAAAAAAAAATGAACAAGAAAAAAAGCACGATGTGAACGTTTCCGAAATATTTGTATCGTCTTCACTCAGCCAGTTTTCTGCCCAAATCTCTGTTGTGTTTTTATATTTTTATATTTTGACAGGGTCAGCTTGCTAGTCATTTTCTGTTCCTTGATTTTCCTTTTTGTCTCTTGTCCTGTACTTGTTCTATCAGGGGATGTAATATGTTCCTTCTCTTCTGGAGAAGGATCCAAACGATCCTTCAAAGGAAAAGGAAACATAACCTTTTTATTAGCAGGCGGATTATTTTCTTTATGAATTATAGGCACGTTCCATGTTGTTGTTTACGTCCGGAAATGTCTTGCTTGTGCACAATGCCGGCAGTTAAAAAGACAATTATTTTACTTCCCATCCATAGTTGCGCTGCTGCAGTAGAACGGTTTCTGCTAACAAAATGAAACCTGGAGATGTATTATTATTCATGTAGAGCAGTGTGCCACAGCAAAGAAAACAATAGCTTAAAAAAACAACTTAAAACCACTCAAATTCTTTTTCCTCTCATTGTCTGTGTCACCTATACTACACGCCGACCCTTTGCCACAGCAACTGACTTACAACAGCGCCACTAGCAGGCAGAGCTGCTAGTGGCGCACCAACACCGAAAAACAGGCAAACATTTTCCACACAAGGACCAAAACATTCAGTCATATTTTCAGGTGTCAAGTGATCATCTGTGGTTCTTTAGCTGATTTAAACTCCTGATTCAATGGAGTTGGGTCGGTGTGTGGGTCGCCTTACTTTTTTAACTAATATGAAGCACACTGAATTCTGCACCACGTATTTGTCTTAAAGTTGTCAAAGTCAAGCTAGCATAGCTGACTTACTTTCCTCTCCCTTGGTATTTTTTTTTTAATTAAAACTTTTTACTGACCTGTAAAATGTAATGCTATTGAATTTTTTTGGATATTTGTTACAGTTTTAACATTTAACAGCAAATTACTGCGTTCATTTTTCGTTTCTATATTACACATACACTTAAGATTTAGCCCGTTATAATGACAACAGCTAAATCCACCATGTCTGTCGCCTTCTGTTGCAACATGAAGTCTTGTGTGTGTGACTTCATGTTGCAACCTGTCCATGCTGTTGCTGTCATTTCTGATGCTGAATTTCTGGCAATGGTAATTAGTCAAACTCTTTGTATGAGATGCTTGATGCCACAAACCAACAGTCCATTGTCCTAATAATGTTGTTTTCTTCTAGGTTGGTGTGGAGGACTTGAGACGGCAGCAGGCGGAGGACAGGGAAAGGATCAGAGCCTTGGAGAAGCTCATAAACTCCATGGACCAAAACATCAGGCGTGACTTGGAACTCTACCGCAGAGAAAACAAGCAATCCCAGACCTGCTGCAACACCATCACAGAGCTGGAGAAGAGGCTGTCGAGCATAGACCTTCGACTCACATCCACTTCGGACAAGTGTGAAATCATCAAAGGACGACTGGAGAAGGAGCTGGCTGGGGCGGGTGGAACAAAGGGAGGAGTCCCTGAGGATCGGTTCAACAGCAGGCTGAGAGAGATGGAAAAGAGATTCAACACCACGATGAGGAAGACAGAGCAGAAGTGCACCAACACTGGGAGCAGCTTGAAAGAAACCCTGCAAAGAGATTTCACCCAACTGCGTAACAACGTGTTTCTTCAACTAGATGACCACAGCTCTAAAATAGGAAAACTAGACTTGGAAGTTGCAGATCTCGGAGATACAGTGAGGGATCATAGCCGACGTTTGAGCCATCTGGAGAACGTTACAGTCTTCCTTGATAGAAAGCTAGCCTCAACCACAGAGATGTGCAGTGAGACCTGTGGGCACAACGGAAAAAACCCAACAACAGAGGAGACTGTGAAAACCTTGGAGTGGAGAGTTGTGACCAATCAGGAACACATCAAGAGGTTTAACAACACCCTGAACAACTTGTCTGTGACGGGAGACTCTCTGATTGACAGAGTGATTGACCTCACCAATGACATCAACAAGATAAAAGCAGTAACCGGACAGAACGGTGAACACTTCACCCGCATTGTCTCAGAGATCGACACACTGGGCAGAGATCTTGATGACTGTTTCGTTTGCCGCAACGTGGAGCAGGACCTGCGCTTTCTCACCAACGCCACAATGATCGGCCTGAACAAATGCCAGACAGAACTGACGGATCTGCGGAGAAAAGTTGACTCAGAGGAGTCCACCTGTTCTCAGGTTTGCTCCAACCTTCAGGAAGAGGTGGGACGTCTTAGGGAGGATGTGGAGGAATGTACGGGACAGTGCAAGACCAACATAAACGACTTGAAGAAACGGTTGGACGGTCATACTTTCCACAGCGGGAAATTAGGTGGGGATCTGAGGTCAGTCCAAGGAGAGCTGAACAATGTCATGATAACTTTTAACTCCATTAATAACACACTGAAGGACCTGGGACGGACTGTGAAGACACATAGTACCACGCTGACGGATCTATCCAGCACAAATTCAAACACCATTTCTGTGGTAAGCTAATGCAATATCACTGCGACTAAACTTAACACAGTACATTGCAATATTTTAAATGTTTATTAATAAAATGATGGCCCACGTATTTGCCCTTACTGTTGGTTAGTGTAAAATATTGCATATTAAACTTCTTGGTTTGATTTGCATCATAGCAATATCTGTACCTTTGCAGGAGGCTTAGCATTTTGGGTATTGAGACTGAGTGTCCTACTCTAAAGTCCTATTTAAAATGTTACGTTTAGTTCTAACAATATACCAGTATGTCTGGTTATCATTAGGTAGATGAAATTTATTCCTTGTTGGACAGGGACTTTAAGGTGAACATAGACACAAACCGTGGCTCAATAAATCAGTTTTAGCTTCTAAGTCTGTAAAATGCTCTTTACCAATGCCTAATGTTGTTCATGTGGTCACCATAATAAGTTTCTAATAGTTGGAAAGACCTCTGACCTGCCACTACTCTCCAAAAATAGTATCGCTTTTCTATGTTCTTCATTAGACGGCAACAGGACTTTTTTATCTAGATTATTGACATGTTCCATCTCTCATGCAAAAGACTTCTTTGGGTTTAATCGTATTTTTAAAAAAGAAAAACGTAGAACTTAAACATGGACGTCACCATTTGATGCCCTGTATCAGATTGTAGCTCTTAGCTAGTTTATATTAGCGTTCTCTTTATAGGTAAAATTTAGAAGAGAAACCGTAAGAACAGCGAAGAATCCAGATAATAATAGTTAACAAAAGGTACAAAGCCACCATAATACAGCAACATACTCTCATATGATCATGTCTTACTCAGCTGTAAGAAATTCAACACCAAGTATTCCATTTTAAAACATTACTGACAACAGCTCTGATTGGTCTTTGTCTTTTATTAATGAAACACAAAATTCAGTTTCTCATAAAGTCAAAACATTACTCCACTAATAAGACCACTAAAAGAAGTTTGTCAAAAAAAATGTTGACCCACTGAAAGTATACCCACGCACTGTACAGTGGATGAATTGTTTTGTTATAAAAACAAAATATTTAGAATTTCCTCGTCTAAGTATTTCTTCAGTGTCTCATGACCCCATTGACCAAAGCTACTCCATCATGCTGATTTGAAATATTTTCCACAGACTAAAACAGAACATCCATCAGATGATGGATCTATATTCTTATCTTCTTTATTTGTCTGTATGACATTAAAAATGTGTTTTCTGTGCACATTGTGAAAACATTGGACCACTCAAAAATCCTTCCTCGCTCTTTTGGAAGTTTGGAAGCACTACAGAAGAACAGCACAACCCTGCTGAGGATGAAGTGTGGCCGATACCATAGGAGAATAAATTGTGGCGAAGGCCTGCAACATAAAGCGACACTTTAAAACACAAACCAACACGATTGTGTTTTCTCTTCAAGGTGGAGGATTTGAGGAATGAGCTGACGGACCACGTCAACGACGCTGACGTCCGGTTCGGCAACCTGGGCAGAGAGATCCAGATTATCAGGAACAACTACGCCACAGAGGTGGGAGAGTGTCGGCGGTCCGGCGACGGCCTGGACCGAAGGCTCTCCAAGCTGGAGGGGGTCTGCGGCCGCCTGGACTTCTTCACAGACAGCCTGGAGCAAATCAAACAGGGCCTGAACAAACACGTGTCTGGCCTGTGGGGCTGCGTGAATGGCCTCAATGTCACTGTGACGTCCCAAGGAGAGCTCATTGACAACATCCAGACCGTCCAGCTGGACCGTGTCCACTCCAGGATACATATGCTCAACTCCTCTGTGCTGGACTTGGGAAGACAGTTCACCGTTTTCAGGGATCAGGACTTTAGGGGTGAGTTTCAGGGGAAAGGGAGCATGGGATTTCACTTTTGGACAAGGCGGATGCACATTAAGTAATGGAAGACATTAAAATAGACCAAAGAAAGAATCCAGGCTGTCATGTTTGAGAGAATTCACTTAAGAGCTTAGTAAAGTTTGTTGTCTTTCTAAAGGACGGCTTCTTGTAATCACACAGTGTGAAAGACACAGCTGGAGTCTCGCCAGGTTAAATGTCTTGGCTTTCCCGATGATGTGCCCGCCGTTTGAAGCTCCTCAGAACCATCAGCATTACTTAACAGGAGTTTGTGTGCGGTTTTTATGTCTCTAAATTGTCCTTTCTCTCAGGTCCCCCAGGGCCTCGAGGAGAGAGAGGTGAATCTGGACCACCGGGTCCTATCGGACCCCAAGGAAGAGTGGGACCTCCAGGCAGGGAAGGCAAACAAGGACTAGTGGGACCCCCAGGTACAAAAACACAAGAAATATGTTCAAGCAGTGATCTATAAAACATACACATTATACTGCGAGACTTTGTCACATTTAATGCTGAGTGTTATCATTTGTAACTCAGAATTGGGAAGTGAAAGAGCGATAATAGATGGTTCAAATTGATATTCTGAAGAGTGTGTCGCACATTTTTTCATCAGCTCCTTTAAAGCTACATGCAACTTTTACAAAAATATGTTTTGTACATAGTTGTACAAAACATGTCACTATGCTGTGACAGTTTGTTAGGAGACAGATAATGTCTGAGAAGATCAATATCCTCCACCTCCTCCCTGAGCAACTATTGTTGCCTGAAGAAATGAACCGCTCTAGACCAAAAACAACTAATCAGAGGCAGGAGGAGGATCTTAGCGCTGCAAGTCATGCACATTAACACGCTGCTAAATGTCATCAGAGTCCTCGCTTATTAGTCTTGGCATTTATGACAGACTCTGTTGTGGTGAACCTGCTGTAGTGCAGTAGAGAAAAAGGGGGAAGAGTATGAGTAACGCATGCACGAGAATTATTGGCAGCGCTAAGACCCTTCTGGCTCTGATTGGTTGTTTCTGATGAAGCAGTGTATTTCTGTAGATTGCAACAGAACCAGAAGGAAACACAGAGGATTATCTGTCTCATAACAAAGTGCCATGATATAGTGATCATTTTAACAAATATGTAAAAATACTTACTTATTTGTAACTTTTTATTTTTTATAAAAGTTACATACTGCTGATTTAATTTTGATGCAAATAAATAAAATCCATAGTCATCCTGATTAAGAAAAAAAGTCAACCTGTCTGTAATTTAATCTCTGTATTAATCCAGCTTTTCAGTGAAGACCTCAGAGGTTTGTTAGAGAACATTAAGGAGATAATAAAATCATGAAGACCAAAGAGTTGTGGAGAAATTCAAGGTTATGAAAATAATAATAAATCGGACAAGATGGTAGAAACATACCCTGAAAGGCTTGCAGTTGGACTTGCAAACAAAGCGACACCAGACATTAAGCATTTTTAATTTTATACGCTGCTTCCCGCTGATCAAACCCCTAAAAGTCCCAATAAAATACACTGAAGTTTGTGGACAGAACATGGCAAAATGTGGACGATGTTAGCGGTGTGACTATTTTTACAAGGCTCTGTTTGTTGAAACACCACTGAATGGCTTATTTGGATATTTACCTTACTCTTTATATCTTTCATCTTGCTTTTCAGGGCTCAGAGGAGAACAGGGTATGTACTGGAGTTACTGAACAACAGATGAAAGCCCTCATTCCACTTTGATCTGTAATTCTCACTAAGCTCTGCTCTGTTTCTACTTTGTCATCTGGTCTTCAAGGGTCCGATGCTCACGTGCCGCGCCTTTCTTTCTCTGCGGCGTTGACTCGCCAGATGAGGAAGACGGGAACCATAGAGTTCAACGAAGTGTTTGTCAACGAAAAGAACGGCTACGATCCTAAAACAGGTGTGTGTGACATTGTGTTTGCTTCTTTCAGGTCCACAGGTTCCGTTCTGTCGTTAGCTAGCAAAATAGCTAGTAAGTTACATAACTAGCAAGACGGATAGCTACAAAGATAAAAAGCTAGCAAGATTGACGGACGGACGTCTCTGAATAAATTCAACTATTGTTTAAAAAGTAAATTAATCTGTTTATCTATGTTTGATACTAGAACTTGTTTAACTGACTGAAACATTTAAGTGTGATAAAAAAGCAAAAATGCGTATCTGCTCAAATATATATTTTTGCAGCACAGGCCCCCCACAAAGAGAGACAAATGAATCTCTTCGTCACTCTTCCATATTTACCATGAACACTGAACTAACCGGTGTCCCGTTCCACAGGTATATTTATGGCGCCCCTGAGTGGCAGATACTTTTTCAGCGCCATTTTGACGGGTCACAAAAACGTGAAGATCGAGGCGGTGCTTTCAAAGTCGAACGTCGGCGTTGCCCGAGCGGATTCAGAGGGCTATCAGCACGAAGGCTTAGAGAAGCCCATGGCGGAGGCCAAACACATCCCCGGAGCCCTGGCTGTGTTCAACATCATTCTACCCTTAGAGGTCGGGGACACGGTCTGCATCGACCTCGTGATGGGAGAGCTGGCCGTCACCTCTGAGCCCTTTACCGTTTTCAGCGGGATGCTGCTGTACTAGACCGTCAGACAGGACGGAGTGTGATTTTCAGAGTTCATCTTGTTGTATTGAAACCTCTGCTTTGGACTCTTAACTCAAAGAGCCGTCGGCAGTGGGTGAAACGGATACCAGTGGACTGGATTCATCCAGCGGAGAGAAAAAATGCTTTGCAGCTTTAAGGAAAAGTTTATTATTTTGTTGATTGAGATGTATTTTTATATGGAAAAGAAGCCACTGCAGGGTGATTTCCAATGTTCCTGTAAACGTGGACGCTTTACTGATTGCACCAGGACATCCATTAAGTTTCACTTGTGTTTAAGAAAAAAAAAAAGGATATTTAGTCAAATGGAGAAAGATTAAAGATGTGGGTGTTTTTCTATTTATCTGCGCTGTCCACCCACGTCATGAAATCTTCAGCATTCCTTACGCACTCGATTAACCGTTGTATCTTTTTTTTTTTTTCCTTTTTTCTTTTAATGCAATCGTTTATTTTTGTGTTACTCACAGTTTCATTTTGACCACAAGTGAGTTCCCAGAAACGCAACGCTGGGTGCCAATTGTCTCAAGGAAAAAAATGCGGGAGGGACAAAGTCCAAACCACTATTCTTTAGGAGGAAATGCACAAATGAAGTCACTGACAGTTCAGCATAGAGAGACCGCAGGGTTTTATAAATCATGCGGCCATAAAACAATAAGACCATTTTAGGACTTTGGCCGTGCCCCGAAACACAAAGGAAGGAGAGGATTTGTCAAAAGCATCAGAGGGGAATTTTCTTCTCACTCTGTGTCCTAATAAGGGACATCTAAAGATAGAAGACGAAGACTGAGACCTTACAGTAACTGAAGTTTGCCGTCAGCATAAAAACTCTGCTGATTATGCAACATATAACTTCAGTGATTTTTTTTTTAAATGCAAGATTTGTGGTAAAAGGTTGGATTTATTGTCAATGTTTTCTTAAATATACATATATCACGGTTCCTTTAAATTAGTTTATTTCCTGACAGAGTCAACCTTTAAGCTTAGCTTCCAGAGCACTTCAACACCAAATCGTACAAAGTTTGTCTCGTCTGTTTTCAAGAGCAAAATACATTAGAGTGAATTTGAAACAGGACAAAACCAAGTTATTAGTAACTTTGAAGCAAGATGCTGGAGCTTGTTTTAAGTCAATCATTTCTTAATTATGAGAAAAATGTAGTTATCAGTGAAATCATTTGAACAAGTGCTTTTTATAATCAATAGTACGTAATTAATTACTTGAAACGAACTCTGAAACCTTGCTAAAAGTTCACTTGTAACTTGGTTTCAGCTTATGTCAAGCATTGTAAGATATTTGAACTTGAAAATAGACAAAGAATACTTTGTAACATTTTTTAGTTTTGCAGTGATTATTTTTTATTTTAGTCAGGCCAATGGAGAGGCCATTCAGGAAGATTGATGCAAGACTTCTAGAACTACTTTTGCTCCATGTTTGGAATTGTCGTCCTGTTTGAAAGGTCAGAGGATCTTTCTCTCAGATGAAGGCGAGATATGTGTTTGGACTTTCAGGAACCATTAAGGCCAAATTCTGTTATAAACAGGAAGCTGCTGGGACACCCGTGTCCTCTCCTGTTGTGAACTTACCTTAAAATTAACACAGACAACCAAGGAAGTAGCATTAACTCCAAAAATGGACCAAAAAGACTTGGACAGGGCAAATGAAAAACACTTTTGTACACAATTCGGTTTTCCAACAGAACAATCAACACCCAAACGAACCTCAAGACTGTTCCACGTTCAAATGGGTCAAACAGGCGATCGCTTGGATAAAGTGGTTTGACTTCCAACACAAAAAAACCCACAAAACCTCACCAGGAGTGTTTTGTCTAGTTTCTGGTGCAGGTATCTTAGTTCACTAAAAACAAGACAAAACTGACTTAGAAGTAACTTTTCAGCCAAATATATGAGCTTGTTTTAGGTAAATAATATTGACATAAAGTAGCCTGCTAGAGCCATTAGCAGATTGTTTTTCACTTATGAAAAAAATCACATTTTCACTTTTAACTTGGGTTGAGATGCTTATATTTATGCAGTGTACAATCTGCCAAGGGATATCTTACCATAAGATTAATAACTAATCGTATAAGCATTAATAATGAATGTATTTGCACATTTTAACCCTTTATAAATTAGGCAAAACACAATTTATTCAAAGTTGCAGACTTTATTCCCCCTCTTAAATCTGGTAAATGTTGTGTGGCCTAGAAAGGAACGGCTTAAATGCATCATTAAAAGTAATATGACCATCATGTCCCCGATTAGTGGCTTTAAACTTCAATAAATAGCACAAGTAAAGCTCGCAACATTAATTAATCTGGTAAAATTTATCTATTGAGCTGGTGCGAACACTTTGTCTTTGTTGAACTGCATTGCCGACCTTTAAAGGCTTAATTGCACATTAAATGAGGTCTGTGGATGTTGAGAACAGCAGTGTATTGATTTCATTTTTTATTTCAGACTGAGCATTCTTACAACAACCTTAGAGATTTCTTTTTCAGAGTACTTCTTTCTCTTTCTCTCTCTTCTTGACCTCTGTGGGTCACTGTTTCTCTTGCTCTCTGGTGACATCTGGCGGTCAGAGTGGCCGATCTTCTCCTTCCGCTCCAACCCGGAGGATTTGAAGAGAGCCAGAAACTCCCGGGAGGAAACGGGATCTCTTGTCTGTCATCCATGCATTAGTCATCTCGGGGAGCCACAGTTGTCTTGATTACCATCTCCTGATTCAGTGGCCTCTCGTTCCTCTGCCAGTCAGGCGCGCAAAAGTCAGGACTGAGTCAGTTGATCCGTGTGCACCAAGCGGTAACCGAACCTGGCCCAGTTGGGTCCGCGAGAATGCAGAACAAGATGCGGGGAGCGGATATGAAGCGGTGCTGAGGTTCTAAAATGGCAGCTAGGATGGCTGACCGATCAATGAGCGTTTTTATAAGTGAAGAGACATGAAAATATTCTTGTCAAAGCTACAAACATTCATATTGATTTGGTTTTCTTCCAGGAAAACCCTTAATGAAGCTGTTGTTCGTTTGGGGACAATAAAAACAAACTTTTCATCGAATGAAACGTCTCGTTGCTCCCGCTGCTTTTTCACTGTCGCGTGACCCGCCGGCGCTTACTTCCGCCCCTCGCGGGGAGTCCGCTTGTGCGGCGTCACGTTGCCATGGTGAGCATTCTTTGTTTTCCTCCCCCACAAAAGCACAACCTTCCCCCCTCACACCAAGTGAAAGGTTGTGCTTTCAGGTTTGTATAGAAGCGTTTTTGAAGGAAGACTGGGAACCAGTGTGGCTTGTCGATGAGCAGACAGAGGTTTTCTGAGGCAGCAGAGACCAGCTAACCCGTCTGCTGTCTGTTCGCCCTGTTTACAGGTGGGTCACTGAGCCTGCTAGCGCCGCCATCTTTTTAATTACTCTGTTCATATATATATATATATATATATATATATATATATATATATATATATATATATATATATATATATATATATATATATATATATATATATATATATAGCAGCTGTTAGAGCTCAAACCCGTTTGATTTATTGTTGGAATAAGTTTGGGAGGAGTCTGTTTGAATCTGATTATTTGGGGTCAACAGAAGCAGCCGAGGAGGGCCGTGTTATGATTTTATTGCAGAGCAACACAGTAGACACCACTACGCCCACCACCACTCTGAGGTCAATCAGGCTGATGACTTCAAAATAACATGCATGTTTGTTGACATGTCCGCTTCCTGTAAGCTGTTGGTGAAACAAGACGTTTCCCCGAGCGCTGACGCGACGTTGTATTTCAAGTAGCGTGGGAAAATATCACGTTATGAGCAGAATAATCTGACGATGGAACAAGTACTTTCTCATCAATATCAAGGAGGTACTGACTTAAAAACAGGCCCTGTTGGAAAAGTTACTTGTAAGTTAGTTTTGTTTTTCTACTAATATTATTCATTTACAAAACCAAAGGACCAGATTAGTCCTTGTACATCTCAAGATATTTGCGCCAGACCAAAATGACTTTGAGATTTGCAGATTTTTATGCTGCCAAAGAGTTCAAAGGTTATTCTTCAGCTGATTTGTGTATTTTGATGTCAATGAGGTGTTGTTGATTCCTCGTCTTTTAAATTGCACTGAGGTAATGTCTTTTCCAAGTTTTCCTTTAAAAAGAATTAGATTTTTTATCTCAGGTGTCTCCCAAGTTTGTCTCAAATTAAATGAGTATGATTCTGTAACATTTGAGTGTATAAAATGCAGATAGATTCACTGTCATTGTTTTCTTTTGCTAATATCTTGTAACTGTCACTTTAGAGGTCTGAATTACAGCCTCCATAGTAAGGAACATGCGCCACATACGGCTGAGAGAAAATAACCTAAGATACTGCTCTATTGGTTTGTATTATTATCACAGTTTCCAAGTAAACAAGAGAGAAATTACTCTTTCAACTGGCAAAACATTGATGTACAAAACAAATCATCGGTTCTGGCTGTGGTGGAGTTTTCTTCCAGTTAAAGGGGAGGTTTTCCTCCCCACTGTCGCCACATGCAAGCTCGGTATGAGGGATTGCTGCAAAGTCGGCGACACAATGCAAGCGATTTTCGCTCTGCCCAGGAGGAGTGAATGCTTCAGGTCGTAATCTGCTTTTTAACCAATCTGAGTTAAAAAGTCACTTGGTCACTACAGTCACTTGGACTTTGCATATTATTGGACTGAAATGACTTCTTTTTGCAAAAAGTGCCTCAAGATGACGTGTTCTGAATTGATATAAATAAACTGAGTTGAATTGAACGTCTTGCTGAATCTGTTGACATTTTTCTCCCCTTCATAAAATATTGTAACTGATTCATTGTGGGGAACTAACTCTATAGACAATGACTTCTCTCCAGTTCAGTTTATTGAGGCTGACTGGAAGTTCAAAATCTGAAATATCTTCCAAAGCTTCTAAAACACTTCATGTATCCTGTCAAATCTCTGGTATATAACTTTTATATAAAAAAAGGTTGTTTTCTTTTTACACATTTGTTGACAGTATGTTATGAGACAAATTTGTCTCATAACATACCCTCTGCCTTTTTCCAGTGCTAACCAGAAACAACCAATCAGAGCCAGGAGGCGTGTCCTAATGCTGCTAATCATGCCCACTAAATGGCCAAATATTTTGTGAGTTCTCAGACTAGTTACCATGGCCACCGATAGCTGAATGCTTTTTCTGTAACTGTAAGTTTTTTCTCCTTATCCACAAGGGTGATTGACGGCGCTAAGCCCCTCCTCCTGGCTCTGATTGGTTGTTTTTGGTCGAGCAACGGCAGGCCTGGAGCTCAATCTTTTCACACATTATACGTGTCATACTGATGTCATGACATGGTGACGGTTTTAACAAATATGTGAAAAGCTTTTTTTTTCTTCTTTAATAAAAGTTACACACTGCAGCTTTAATGGGCATTATCAGGTAACACAGAGGTAAATTTGTTGTGTATTGACATGAAATTCTGCATTTCATTTCCAATTTTATTGGGAAAAAAGTTATATTTTTAAGTATATCATAAAAAGAAATAAAAAATCTGCCTTGCTGTTTAAAGAAATGCTTACAGATGTATGTTCTCTTGCATTTACAATCAATTCTAGGACGGCATAACAGCAGTGCTGCCGTGGGACGCTACATCAACTCATTTATGTTGAATCTCCAAGCGTTTTCATTTTTCCTCCGTCACCTCCACCTTTCAAACCTCTCTCCATCAGGCTCTCAGGGACGCCAGAATGAGCTGGTCGGTGGCAACGGGCCGTCTGCAGGTCCTCCAGATCTACCGCCTGCTGCAGTGGATCCACAAAGGAGAGAAGGAGGAGATCCAGAAGATGGTGAAGCTCGGGGTGAAGAACCTCATCAACCTCACCGAGCCACAGGAAGGCCTGGGGGTGCTCCACCTGGCGGTTTCAGCCAACAACAGCGGTGAGGAGCTTCATCCTCGCTCTGTCTGATTGTAAATTCGCCGCTTCGATCAAACAAGAACTCGAGTTGCGTTTCACGGGTGTGAGGGTTTAACATTTGTCAACTGAAGCAACGTTTTATGAGAACAAACATTCAAGCGCGATCACGGCGCTCCATTTCTATTTCTATGTAACAGGAAAGTTGTATTTATTATACTGAGGTAATTTGAGTCGATGCGTAAAACCTTGGAAACTTCACTCTAAATGATTTGTTTGGTTTGTGGTAGGGAGGAATGGCCAGTGACACGCATGTTAGCTCTCATGCAAACAGAAAATGGAAGCAGACTGGCTGGATTTTTAATTAATTAATAATTTTTTTATTTGTTAGTCATTGGTGTTTGCAACCTGGGTTTCTGTTGCACACAGTTCCGCGGGCGCTGCGTGTCAGCTTCGACGTCCGTCTGAGTGTCTCTGTTGCTCTGTCTCCTCGCAGACCTGGTTGAGTTTCTCCTCTCCCTCGGAGCACATCCTGACGTCCAAGACAAGATGGGCCGCACGCCCGCCATGCTCGCAGCTGAGCTGGGGAACCAGGAGATTTTATCGCTGCTCTTCCAGAAGCAGCCTGACATGACCCTAACGGACGTGCAGGGCAAAGGTGGGCAGAGAGTGAAAACAGACTGAAATGTTCAGGTGTGATTCAGGCTGAGAGTTTGCAGAAGAACGAGTGAAGAGCTGGAAGCTCTTAAAACGCACAAAGTGTCACGATGACAAATTTTGCTGTGCGATAAATCGCCCCGGTGATTACTGCGATAGACGATGACATTGTTATTTCAAGACCGTTTTCAAGGGACATATTGATAACGGTGAAATAATCCAAAGACTAAAAACCTTTAATTATGTAAAGAACACTTCACATTGGAACTGGAATAACCAAAGTAAAACATGACAGCCAAACACAGTAAATAAAAATAGGAATGAAAGCCACATGCGACCAAAACTCAGAAATAGAATGGACTGTGATGTGTCATCAGTAAAATATGAATCATCACAATGGAAAGTTTTGCTTATTAATATATTAATTGCTTTCTGCAACAGGCTCGGCGGTAACTTTTATGGTCGTTACAGAGGGTATGTAGTGTTAATCCACTGAAAGCTAACTTTAGCTTTTTTTCCCCTGGCTATTTCAATATTTTTTTTCTATTAAACTGCTGAGTGCAGACGTAAGCATTTTGCTCATTTGAAATGCTACAGAACCCAGACGCTCCTGTAGGAGCCCTTCAACAAACTCCAGGATTAATTATAGATGGAAAAATGACCAGGCTTCTATAGCATATGTTGAAATAATTCTTTTCATGACTAAATTACGGCTGAATGTAAAAAAAAAAAAAAAAGGAAAAACAAAGGTAGAATTTATTTCAGTTAGTTTGTTTTCAAGGTGCAGAGCTGCTTTTGAACATGGTGCAGAGGTTTTTGATAAGTTACGGCTCGTGGTAGCCGTAGATAATTCAATGTTTTATCTATTGCAAAATCAGTTTTCCATGTGTAAATCTGACTTAAAATGGGGAAAAAAATCTTTCATTCACATTATGATTTAGAAAATTGAAATCAGATTAAGATGACCTTTAAACAGGTACTAAACAGAATTTCCATTAAGCCAACATGTTTGTGTTTGTTGTTGGTCAGATGTAATATTCTAACCTTAAACGTTGCATTTTTATAACCCGTGAACTGAAAATCATCATAACTAACAGGAAGAAAGGCATAAAAACATCACTAGGTGGAATTAATCCATGTAATATGTTTCACTTAATGAGTTGAATTACTGAAATAAATACATTTTTAATGCTATTCTTATTTAATTAAATAAAACCACACTGAAACCACACTTAAATATGTGGTTTCCGATCCAGGCAGGCAATTTGACCCTGCATGGCTCACAGAGAACCCATAATCATTTTTTTAATTTTGTAGTCAATGAGGAGATTTTTATCTTTTATTCTTCTCTCTTTTTAGGTTTTGTCAGGCAAATGTTGGCTCACATCTCAAGAACACGCGTGTTTACATATTGATGAGAAAGACAATCTCAGAGGATCCTTTCAAATAACCTGAGGCTGTTCTTGCTTTACCGAGAGTTGGCTTCAATGTTTGGACTTTTGTGTCCAAACATTGAATTCACGGCCGCAAAATGTCCTGTTTTTGTTGCGTAGCGTGCGGCTGCGTGTGTGAGTCTAATTACAGATCAAGCCGTCACAGCGACACTCTGATATGGAACCTGCTCTGTAACCTGATAGCGCTGCTCGCTCCCCAGAGGCGTGTTCAGCCAAAACGCTCCGCTCGCATCCCCAGGCTTCTCTTCAAGCATTTCGATCCCCACACAGTTTTGATTATTGTATACAAGTTTGAAAAAAAAAATACAAATTTAAATTATTTTTAATTAGCACCTGGTTATTTTTCTCAATTGGATCTGAATGTAAAAGTGAAGATAGATATTTAGCTCTGGCAACACTTGAACTACACAAAGAGTAAGAACCGCCCAGCCTCTCTCACCACCTCAGATGTATTTATTTTTTGTCAAATTCCAAATGTAAATGATACTTCTGTCATTTTTAAACTTTTGTTTTTGGCTTCTTCTTATTATTTTTTTTTATCTCATTTGTGACTCAGGCGTGCTATTCTACTGCAGCTACCCCACCAAGCGCCACGCCCGCTGCCTAGAGCAGGCGCTGAAGAACGGGGCCGATCCCAACAACATCTCTAGTAGCGGGGTTCACGTTCTAAGCATGATGTGTGAGAAAGCTAATGAGTGCACCCCCTTGTGTCTCACCCTGCTGGATTCTGGTGCAGACCCCAACGCGGCCAATGAGGTAGAAAACCCCCCCAAAAAAGACGGAAACGTGACGGAAACAATTTGAGAAACAATGGAGAAAAAGCCATTTAAAGTGTGATTTTTTTCTGCCCAGACAACAGGCGTGACGGCGCTGATGGAGGCTGCCAGGACGGGCTCCCTGCCAGTTCTTCGGCAGATCCTCAGGAAAGGTGGAGATCCGAACACCCTGGACAAAAACGGTTACAACGCAGTGCACTACGCCGCCCTGAGTGGCTGTTTTGAGGTGTGGTAACTAGAACTTTTTCTCTCATTTTCGCTTTTTGTTGGGTTGCAGTCCAAGACGCACTGATCCGATGTCGGTATCTGCATTAGTCCCAATATTGAAAAGACATTGTAGACTCTCACACACTATTGCTTTTGATTATAAATAAAATAATTGTTTTTCCTGGTTAGTGGAACTCGTCCTGCGGAATGGCTTTTTAAAAAAATGAATAAATTATGAGAATGATAAATTGTATTTATATTTGATAATTGTCTTGGCACTTCAGTCCTATTAAACACCAGAACCAGAATCTCATTTTAGGTAATTTAGGTTTGGACAATCCATAACACGTAACTGCGATGTTTCCCATCCTTCAGGTAATCATGGTGCTGTCAGGATTTGCAGCAGATATGAGTGTGATTAACAAGGAAAGCTCTACGCCCTTACACTACGCTGCCGCCGCAGGCAGTGTCCCGTCCTGCAAGTTCCTTGCTCAGAGAGGTAAGCCGCGACATTGCAAAGCGTCTCCAGTTTCAGTTTCAATCACCCAAAGTATTTGTTCATCTCTGGAAGAGATGTTAGGTCTCTGGACGTGTCCTCCGGAGCTTTGAGGATTTTGGTTACAGAATGAAGAATAGCTCTTTTGTGTGTTAGCATTGCAAGCTTATATCTCTGCTTTGACGCATGTGGAGGCAGGAAATTAAATCAAACAGAGCAGAATGCAGACCTGAATTAAATTAGGTAATGCGATCAAGTGGGTTTTTTTTGTTGTTGTTGTTTTTTTCATAGAAGTGTGCTCTGTGTTCAGGTTGTAACCCCAAAGTGAAGAACAAGGAAGGTTTGCTGGCACGTCAGATTGCCAAAGACTGCGGACTCAAGGCAGCGATCAAGGAGCTGAAGAAAGCAGAGAGGGCATTTGGGAAAACCAAAAAATCCACTGGTGGCGGCATGACGTCAGATCTCTGGGCCCTGATCTTTCACGATTGGTCAAACGAGTACCAGGCTGAATTAGTGGAAGCCTTTAAGGAACAATTTGGCTTTGCTAATTTAGAAACCTTCAAGTCTGTGTTAGAGAACCTGGGCGCTCCGGTTGAACCAGACCAAGTGGAGATGGTCTTCTCAGCACATGACAAGAAGGGAGAGGGCCTGATCAACGTGAATGACTTCATCAAAGGCACCAAGTACATCAAGAAACCCTTCCGTCTCACTGTGTACACGACTCAGAAGAAGAAGAAAGAAAAGGGGCCTAAGATGAAGAAGAAGAAGAAAGGCCCATTTGTCCTTCCCATACCCATTTGCACCCTTGTGCCGGAGCTCAAGCCCCGACGGCCTGATGGCGGCCCGCCTAACTTTATGATTGAGAAGTACCACAACTTGACAGACGTTCGCCGCTTCGACGACGAGCACCCGCCGGTTCACCCCATAGTCAACGACTCATGGTGGTACATAGAGAAGCCAAACAAAGTTTACATCAACATGAACTACTGTGTGAGGAACGGAGATTTGGAGTCTCTGGACCTCGCCTTCAACGACGGCGTACCTGTGGACACTCAGGATGAATTTTACAAGACCCCGCTGATGGAGGCATGCATCAGCGGCAACTGCGAGTTGGTCAAGTACCTTCTAGAAAAGGGGTGAGTAGCCACACCCGGCATCCAGATGTTTCCAGTCCAGGCTTGTCAGTGTTGAGACACACCCCAAAACAATGTCACACAAAACCCCAAGAAAATATGTTGTATGTACAAATACTGTTAAAAAGCTCTGTATTTGTTTTTCACTGGTAATTTCTACTAATGGTTACAAGAGTCAAAGTCAAGTCAAGATTATTTGTGTGTTACATTCCGGCAAAAAGGTAGTCCAGAGTGCTTTAAGTCATAAAGGCACCATACAAAATGCATTAAACTTTACATTTTGTCAAATGCCATCATCGAAATCGTCAAGCAAATACCCGTCAAATATGTTCATCAATGTTCCAGTTACTACTAATCAAAGCAAACTAAACAGGTGGGTCTTAAGTCTTGACTTAAAGCTGCAGTATGTGACTTTGACACAAATGTGTTTTTATTTTTCATATTTGTTATAACTGTCACTATGTTGGAAAAACATCTTACTATTTCAATAAAACTGTGTATCCCTGTCATTGGTGGCCATGGTAACTGGCCTTAGCATTCATGCCAGGCTATGTTATGATGAACCAGCAGAGAGAAAGGGGGAGGGTGTTAGCGGCATGTACACAAGAGTGATTAATAGCACTAAGACCCTCCCGCTGCCTCTGATTGGCTGTTTCTGACTGGGTGGTGTATTTCTGCAGTGACTAGTGGGCGGAGGCAGAGTATCTGGATTTTTTTCACATCTGTCTTTTGTTACACTGTGACGACAGAATGATAAGTTTAGTAAATATGTGAAAAACTTTTTTTTTTCAATAAAAGTTACATACTGCAGCTGTAAAGGAACTCAGTGTTTCAGCATCTTTGCAGTTTTCTGGAAGTTTATTCCAGATCAGTGCTGCATGGAAGCTGAATGTCTGCTTTCTGGTTCTGGGGATGCAGAGCAGAACCAGAACCAGAAGACCTGGGAGATCTGGAAGGTTTTGGTACGGCAACAGTGTATTTTGAAGTGAAATCAGCGATTTAAGAACTATCAGAAAGCAACGTTCTATCCGACATGCAGCATCTTCTCAGTAAGTAATGAGGTCTCACTGAACAACTCCAACTCCCACCTTGCGTCCCACAGGGCTGATGTGAACATATGCGACCAGTTCTTCTGGACGGCGCTCCACCACGCGGCCAACGGGGGATATTTGGAAATCGTGGAGCTTTTGGTGAATGCCGGGGCCAACGTCAACGCAAAGGCCCTCAACGACGGCACGCCGCTCATGAGAGCCATCGAGAGCTCCAGCTTCTCCTGCGTGGAATTTCTCATCAATGCCGGGGCCAAAGTCGATTCAGAGACCAAGAAAGGTACGACGCAGTCTGAACATTAAAACGGTTTCGCTTTTTATTTTAAACTTAGGTTTGAATTTATAGATCTTATCACTGTGCATCAACACAAGTGAAAACAGCAGTAGGAATAAGAAAGAAATCTGCTTGTTATTAAGAGCGCCCCTTACTGCTCAGAAGCTCTACAGAAAAATGAAAACAACGATAACTGCATTCATTCATCTTGGCCTCGATTTTTCTTCCAGGAGTGACCTGCCTTGATGTGGCCAGACACTTTGGAGAAACCGATATAGAGAGCCTGGTCCAGGAAAAGGTGAATGCTCTCCCAGACCCCAAAAAAGTAAAACTTAAACCTGCTAAAAAGTAGCCCTGCCGTTTGACCGCGGCTTACATTAAAAACTTTCTGCATGAAACTTTTGATGTGTGACACTGACGCTTTGTGTGTGTTCGTTCAAAGAGTAAAGTAGAAATAAATAATTGAGTTTGACATCTCTCAGAACACAAAGCATAGAATTAGACGGAATAGATCCATCTGGCCTTATGAATCAGGGACTTTGTAACTGAAACTTGAGCTAGATTTTTTTTTTTTATATCAGGACTTATACGTATGTTAATATCAGATTGGTGCACCTCTATTTATATGATAGCGTTTTAAGTAAGGTCATCCCAAACCTGTATCTGATGTATTTGAAAGGGAAGGGAGAGTGGAGAGTTTAGGAGGGTGGACTGGTCAGGTTTGGAAGTTGCTGGTGATGAAGAAAGTTGAGGAAGAAGAGGAGTCTTTAGGTTGCCAGTCATGGATTCCTCCAGTCTCCTGTTGAGCCGGTGGTAGAGAGGAAGGATTTCAGGTAGGAGTGTCACAAAGGAAGATGTGAGCAAAGGAAGTGGGGAAACATGAGGAAACAAGGAAATCTACAGAGCTAGAGGTGGTGAGAGGTTAACACTGAAGCGATGAATAACCAGCAGCTGATGATTTGTATGTGTGTGAGAACATCCTGATCCTCTGTCAGAGGAAAACACACACCAGATAAAACTGACCAAATTGAAATCACAAAAAGTCTCTGATCGGGGACGCACCATTTTCGAAAAAAAACTTGAACTTTATCAATAAAAGCTTTTTTGCGTTAGGATGAGGTGGATTGTGTTTCGCAAGACTGCAGTGAAGACACACGAGTCTCGTGATCGTCAACCGGACGTTAACTACTGGCGGAAATGTCAAAGTAGATGACAGGAAGTGGTAGGACGGTGGTTTGTTTTTGTTGTTTTTGGACAATGTCCAGACGGCTCCACCAGGGCGCTCACCGCGTCGCTCCATTCATGAAAAGCTGTGTGTTATTCCAACATGTTGAATCCGTAGCTGTTCTGTAAAATGATCGACTCCAAATTTCCCTGAATCGCAGTATACATACCCGCTCCCAAGGACATGGGGCTTGTTGCTCCAACGCCGGAATAAGACGCCCAAGTCTCCTGTGATTGGTTGCTGGACATCCATCTCTATTATGATCCTTGTTGACTAATCATGTGAACAAGCTTATTCACATGTGACTTTAAGTTAATTTCTTATTTAATGGAGACACCACAAGTGTTCTTTTGATATTAACAGAATTTCGACAAAAATGTGCACACAATTGTTAATGGAAGTACAACAATCCCAAAATTGGTCAAGTCTTTCATTGCACTACATTTATTGTTTAGCAATAAATAAATGTATTGTTGAAGAAAGTTCTTGTCATTGCTGAGAATAGACTAAAACTGTTTACTAAGAACAGAAAGAATTCAGCCAAAAAGAATAGAAACTGTACAACTTTCTCCTATTGAGACCTTTTCTGTGTTACATTTGTTTTGTTTTAAATCACTTTGTTGTAAAAAAAAAATAACCTACAGATCATGGAAAGGGGAATTTTAATACATTAGCTTTTTCTTTTTAAATTCACGTGGCCAGCACTGGCAGCAGTTGGTGCAATAAAAGAGAAGAACTCTTCCTTGGCGTGTCAAAAGTTTAAAAATCCAGAAGAAACCTCGGAAATGTAGTAGAAATGTTGGACAGACGGGAATGTCCGTCGTCTGTTTCTCATCACGGTGTAATTCTAGCTCTCAGCCTGTTAGCATGATCTGCGGTCTGCTTATCAACACTTCAATCATGTGCCTGCACAATCAAGTAAAACTAGATCTTTAAAAATATACACCTGCATGCGTTTCTTCCAGAGGGGACTTCATGTTATGTTTTTAGAGTCGTTTCTGCTAAGTGGTCCTGCATGTCCAGTAAATGTTCCACACAGCTGAGTTTCTAAGGTTACTCCTTCGATGTTGTTACTGATACTGACACCATTTTGAGATTTTTCTAGGTGGTTTTAAATAATTCAAGATGAACTGATTTATTCATGAAGGATTAGATTTAAACTCTCGCTAAGGAGAAATAAGTGCATATATAGTAAATTATACAGTAATTCAGCGTAAATGAGAAACTCGTGTAGAGTTATTTCACACAGCGTTTTATAAGTGATGCTTCAGGACTGCAGATGGATGAATCTCAGACTCCAGCCTCAGTCCACTTTGGGAATCCCCTCCAAACACTTGAATTGTCTTTGCTTTATAACCCCCAGATTGCTGCGGCTGCCTCTGTTGTTTGTGCAACTTCCATCGCCATGCTCATACTCACTGTGTTTTCACACCTGATTGTTTGGTAGGCTCCTTTCGATTGGGCACCAAAGTTGCAACATTTGTTACCATTTCAGCTGGTGCGCTTCACCCAGTATTTACCCAGAATGCCCGGCGGTATCGTCCACTTCCTGCTCGTGGAGTGATCTCCGGTCCACTTGGCCTTCCTATATGCATTCACCAGGGTTTTCAGGCGGATCAGAGTTCACTTTTTTTGGTCTGCACCACTATGGCTACACGTAAATAAGTTCACCTTTCTGGTTACTGAATCTATTAAAAGTGTCTCTTTATGAAATAAGTGTTTATTTGGAAAATGCTCTTAATTTGATGAAGTGCACCGTCTACGGAGCTGCTCCACACCTGCATCCTGCACTTTATTTCCTCAGAGTTGAATGCCATGTTGACTGTTAGAGAATCAGAGCCACGGCGAGGGGCTTTCACAGGTGATTTACTTTGGAGTAGATGAGTAGCTGACACAGGGACCCAGTGGAGACGATGCAAATCATCTGAGGCCAGGCCTAGCTAAAATACGGCTGCAGATAAACAGCCTTCAGCTCGCCGAACTGGAAGAGAGTGCATCTATTAATTCTCTTCATCTTCAGGCAAGAAAAGCTGGGTTTAGCGCCGGCCTCCATAAATAATCCCGTAGTGTTTCTATAACTCGAACTACCCTGAGTTTAAACTTGAGTCCTTAGTCTTTCATTTATATTTTTATTGTATCATTTTTGTGCCTAGTTTTACTCACTGATTTGTCTTTTTCAGCACGATTTGCTCTTTCATTTTTTATTTTCTTCTTTAACTTTTGATTTTTTTTTGTTTTTATCTTTTCAAAGATATTAACACATTTTCTCAGACATTAATCGGCACCTTTGTGTAGTGGAAATATAACGAGGGGCGGGCAATATGGACTTATTTTTATCAGAATGTTTTATGATAACTAAAAAAGTGACAATAAGAAGGTAATTGCATGGCTGTGACTGTGCGTCAACAGGAGTTACAGGCCTACAAACACAAATGAGACATAAAGAAATGTGATTTATACCTCTAAAATTGACACAGTGACTGAATTCAATCATATTTTCGAATTTATTGATCCACAATTATTGCACAAGCGATTTAGAAAAATTGTTACGTTAACAAATGAACAATAGTCCAGTAGTCTGGCGTTAACAGTCCAGACAATCCTGTCTGTATTCTCTACATCCTGACAACACAGACAGCTTTAGGGGGGTTTTAAACAATAATTGGAATTTATTGTTACAATAATAACCCAAAATCTTGTAAGTACTTTACCTCAATAAACTGTAAGTAATGCCCACCTCTAAATATTACCAAAGATGTTTTATTTTTTTCCCTTTCTACTTTACCTGGTTAACTTTCTTAAATCACATTTTGTCCTGAAAAATGCAAACATCCTGTGTGTCTGATCTTCAGTGCCTATGAAAACTATTCACTCCTTTGGATGTTTTACCCTCGAATTGCTTTTACAAATTAATCCTGGTCAACAGCATTTGGCTTTTCTAAGTAGAATATAATATTTTTTGCAAACATACTTTTAACGTCAAAGTGAAAACTTTTGTGCAAAAGATGACAACTAAATAAAAAGATGTGAGTTTAAGCAATTCCATAAATGTTCACCCCAATTGATGTCACTGACCTGATTCAACAAAGGTCCCTCCAATTGGACTCAGTAGTCTCACAATAGTCTTTAGTCAAAAAGCTACATTTAGTTGCTGAAAATTGATTTGTAAAAAGCAATTTAAAAAAAGAAAGGTAAAACATGGAAGAGAATGAAGACTTTTTTCATAGGTACTGTGAATATTTGGTTAATTTGTGATATTTCTGCTCCATTGATCTCATTCCTCTTGCTGCTCTTTACGTCAGTTCTTGGTCATTGCCTTTAGGTGGCTGCTGCAGGGAGTGCTGTGCGGAGAAAGACTTTGACTGGGACATCAGGGAGGACGCCCACACAGAAGAACTCCAAAAGCATCGTCCTCCATAACAGCAGGATCACCGCAGGACAAACCAACACAGCAGATATTAGCTTTGTGCCAAAAACAGTACGTTTGGTTACACCGACGCTAAACAACCTTGTATATAACAGCTAAATATCGACTACATTATGACTTCTGTTGTTCCCTGAAAACTCCAACTCTGATAGTTTATTTTGTTTGTTTGTTTGTTTGTTTCAGATTTGGGGTGAACCGCCCACCACCAGCCAGCTGATGTCAAACATAGCAAGTCGGAAGAGTCGCATAACCCTGGAGGTGGACTTCGACGACTTGTTGATCCCTTTCAGCCAGCGCTTCCAGAGAAGGATCCTGGAGATAACCAAGCCAAAGACCAAACTGGAGGAAAGCCAGAGACAGAGACAAGTCTCCTAATTATGTTACTCTGCTTATGTTGTCATCATCGTTGCCTTATTATTATTGTTATTATTATTGTTTTTGACAGCTAATATGAAAAACGACATTCAGCAGTTGTTGTTTTTTTGTTTTTTTTTTTACCAACAACTGAATCAAATATAAAGCCATGCAGATAATGAGAGTAATCAAGTGAAAATAAAAGGTTCTTTCCTCTTATGTCTAAATGAAGGGACTGTTTGTCTTTTTCGTTTCGATTTTAGGACTTGCTCTTCTGGTATCAGTTTCCAGTTTGGCCACAAATAGCAAAGAATGCAAAATTGTTCCGTAGTATTACAAGAAAAGGTGAGTAAGGAAGAATTGCTATGTATATTGGAGTATGTCGCTGCTAGCTTGTCGCAGCTTGTTTTTTCTCAAAGTTCTTTCCAAAGCAGCTTAAGATCCGCCATATTAATTATGGGCACGTGTTGCTCTCGCGTTGACTGAGATTCTTCCGGTACATTTCCTACCGGGCCAATCAGCGAGAAATCCACGTCATTCCTCTAATGACGTGGATTTTAAGCTGTAGGCTTCTTCCGCTACGTCGAAATGACGCATTACGCCAGGTTCGCGGGTTGGGTCAAAATGTGAAACTTCAAAGCGGTTTCCAGAGGGTCCAAACCTTCAATATGGAGTAGAGCGTAGAGGCCATCGCTTTTCACCATGTAAGCTGAAACCAGATTCTGTTCTGGTTCTGTTGTCTGAAGAGAACCGCATGTTTTACTGGACACAAACGTAAGAGCGCATTGCATTACGTGTTCGCCTGTAGGAAATGAATTTCAATGACGTTTGTCACGTCACAGGGACTTCAAAACTAGGTACCCGGGCGCCGCCATGTTGAATTCCGACTTCGTAACTGTTAGCTGTCGCCTCGTGTCCTTGACGTCAATTCAGCTCTCGAGTGCCAACATCCCAGATACGCAGCGTTTCACTGCGGTGACGTCACACGAAGAAGGAGAAGTATGACGTGTGTGTGACGTCGTACACGCTAACGTCACCTCGCGAATTAATTTTTGCATTGGTAAATGTCCGCACCTCCGAGCACTCAGTTAAAGTGGTATGATGACGCCATGGGGGGGCTGGTGAAGAGATTAAACGAGTCATTTTCCACCAAGTGGTTCTGATGTTGTAGAAAAAAAAAATAAAAAAAATATATATATATATATATATATATATATATATATATATATATATATATATATATATATATATATATATATATATATTTCTGAGGTATAAAAGTTGAAAATTAGACAAAAAACTCTTCACAGTTTCAGAAAGTTTCTTGGAAAAAAAAACACAAAAATGTAAGCGTCTCAAAAGTCAAATATGTTCTACCTTTGAAACTCAAAAATGTTCTGAGATTATTCCCAGAACTTTTGTTGTTATTATTATTATTATTATTTTTCCCCTGGAAATAAACTCCATCTACATCTATGTATCTCTTAAAGTTAATTCCTAATGGAGTTTAAATCTTTACTTATTATTTCATTTTCATCTATTTTTTTTCAGAGACGCAGATTCGTCACGTACATAAATAGCAGCAGCTTTGACGCTTTTCTTCCTGAACTTTCACGTGGTGGCCGGCAGGTGGTGCTGTTTGTCAAATCTAGCCACATAAGGTTTTGGTTGTTTAAGGCTGGTAATTAAAAAAAAAAAAAGAACAGAGGAAAGAACTTGGAAGGAGCTCTCTCTTCTAGCACAGAAAGAGATCAAAATGGCAGCCATGAGTTTTAGCTGCTCTCACATGCAACACTCTTGATGGCTGTAATATAAAAATTGATAAATAAATTGACATCTGCAGCATGAGATCTAAGCCTGAGCTCTTCCTGTAAGATGGGAAAGAATGCAGCTCCACTCTTTTGCGTCACGTTTGCCTCAGGCTATATTTTGTGAAATAAATAAGCTCAGAAAACACTGCAATTTCCTGTTATAAACAGCACGCTGAGGCACATTCATCATCAGCAGCAGCACTGTCGTAAAATAAAATTAGTTAGCAGTGTCTTCAAGGTCCACAGGGACACGGTTATATAACAAAAAAAAAAAAAAGCACTGGCAGAGGAGGTGGAGGCAGGCAGCTCTGAGGTCTGAAATGTATGCTGAGAATTATTCAAATATACATAAAAAGGATGTGAAGACAGAGAGAGAGAGAGACGACATGAAGAAGACAAACCCACATATAACAGAGAAACCTGAAAGCCCAGCAGGGCCGTTCACGATGCGAGCGAGACGGGGTCGGGGGCTGATGGCGAGGGAGCAGGATGGAGGAATGAGAGGCGGGGAGTGAGAAGATGAGGGCTTTTCTGGTGCGATCAGTGGCCACACGGGTTAGAGGGAGTAAACAAGGCTGGCTGCCGGCTCCAGCTGTGACGCAGTGAGTCCGTCAGGGCGTGGGCTCAGGCTTATATGGTCATGCAGTATCTGGGCTCGGCGGTCTGCTGGGTGTGTTGCTGTTGGAGCACACGCCACAAAGAGATGTGGGTCAGTTCACAGCAACAACAACAACAAAAAAGAAAAATACGTGATCACTGTCAACAGAAATACCCTCAAACAGCAAATCCTGAGTGATATTTTGAAGTGTCTGTGTGATTGTAGAGGCTCGTGGGACTGAATTTGTGAATGAAGTGGAATATGCATTGACTTATTGAGGACATTTATTTTTATTATTGTTTTAGAGTTGGTTTGGGTTTTGTTTTTTTCCCCCTTCCCCCTGTCAGTCTGAGCTCCTATCGACGTGTGCTGCAGCCAGCAGCACTGCGGTCTCCTCTCTCTGGCCCCGCTCCGCTTACTCAGCACTTCTCACCCTCGGCCTCCCAAAACCAGCACCGAATGTGACCGAGCCTCCTCGGCAACATTCCCCGTTGACTGCCGCTCACGTAAAGCTCGCTCAAACCCGAGACGCAGATGTGCTCGCACATGCATGTAATCTAATAAAATAAAAATAATAATAATTTTAAAAAAACATCCTGAAGCCACAAAGCTTTCACACACAAATTCTGCATGTCACATGCTACAGTAGACAGACATAAAAATCCACAATAACAAACAAGCCAGGAAATGTATTTACTCCTCCAGAGCTTTATTGGAGGTTTTTATTTTAATTTTGTCAGAATTGATATGGGTTTTATTGGCACTGAGCTGTCTGAGAGATCAATACGGAGCAGTGAATTATTCTGAAGCGAAAGGGAGAAGATGATGCTTTGCAGTTTTTGTTAAATATGCAGCGCATTTGTATTCAGGCCTGCTTGGTCATGTTCTTTAGAAAAATGTAGTTGTCAGACCAAACCGGATTATTAGAGGATGTTTCTACTCTATAGAGAGTGACTAGTTTAGTCTTTCTTTCTTTCTTTTTGTAAAATAGGATGTCTGGTGATGTTTTAAGTCCTGTCATACTCCACAACTGGATTTCGGTATAGGCTTTGACAGAGCCATTATTATTATTATTATTATTATTATTATTATTATTATTATTATTATTATATTATTATTTTCGCACCAATTGCAGTTTTCCAGTCGATCACTGATGTTCAAAAAAGATGGACACACAGATTTTGGCTAATTTTCTTTTTCTTTCTTTTTTGTTTGTTTGTCTGAAAAGTAACTGAAATCGCTGGTGTCTATTGTTAAACCGCACATGTGCAGACATGACCTGGTGGGCTGGGTATGTCAGAAATGTGCATGTTTGTGTGTTTTTTTCTAGAATCTTTTTTTTGATTAATCTCAAAATATCTGCGTTTTTTTGGCATTTTTCCAACTTTTCGGAGTTCAGAATTGTCCTCGTTTTTTCTGAAATTACTCTTAAAATTTCCGTGAAAAGTTACTCCTCTTTTTCTCCTATCTACAAGGGCCATATAGCACATCCTGACTTTTTGAAGCATGTCTTTTAAATCACAGGTTTAATGTAACTTCTTAACTCTGAGTTGCTCTGCAGAAACTATGCTCCTAACATGAAACGCCGCCTTGCAGAGACGGAGTCGGAGCTGATGACTGTAAACCCAGTGGCACTGTGCGGTAAAGCTGTGCAGAGCTAAACAATAGTGCCACTGTCCTGATGCTGCTGTGACATGCATTATTGATGAAGTCGGCTGCTTTAACTCTGCTCCCAATGATGCATGTGACTGCAGGAAGATACATGCGCACCAATATTCCCCAAAATGCTCACACAACACACCTGAAAGAGTGAAACTCTTCATAAAGTGCATGTTTGCATGTGTGTGTGTGTGTGTATGTGTGTGTGTGTGTGTGTGTGTGTGTGTGTGTGTGTGTGTGCGTGTGTGTGTGTGTTGTGTGTGTGTGTGTGTGTGTGTGTGTGTTTGTGTGTGGGTGGGTGGGTGGGTGGGTGGGTGTGTGTGTGTGTGTAACCGAAATAATTGTGTCAGAGTGAAGAGCAGTTTCCATAGGTCCTTTTATCTTTCTGAGCTGTTGGTTCTAATTTTCCGCAGGCCTGGAATGTTTAATATAAAGATATTGATTAGAATTTCATGCTGAGGCCGATATCGCCGGGCAGCAAACGGAGCAGCCTGGGAAAGAAACCAGAAGCCGACAGGATTATTATCTCACAGGATCGATTGCAGCTGCACGTTTCTCCTGGTTTTCTCTGCTTAGCAGGTTGCTAATTGCAAAACTGTTGATGAGCTTAATGTGTTTTTTCTTTTTCTTTTTTTTTTTTTTGCACGGCTGAAGGTTGATATTGTTTATTTTTAGAATGCGATTAAAGGAAATTGCCACTGTTTTGCTTTTTTTTTTTGTTACCCTCACACGTCAAACTAATTTCATATTAAGGATTGTTTCAGTAAAGGGAAAGTGTAATCCAAATCAAACCTGCAAACTGTCTGCAGTAGCTGCTGCAGCTGTGTCTCTGAAGAGGAATTTTTGCCTTTTCTTCTCCCCACTCTTCTTTACAGTAGTTTTAACTGAGCAACATTGGAGAAATTTCAAGCAGGAATAATTTGTTTTAGGTCATACTACAGCAACTCAATGAAATTAAAGCCCAAACTTTGACTAGCCTGCCTCAAAAATCAAGTCCTTTTCACATTTTTAGTGTTTGGTAAGATGTATGGGACAAAATTGGTGCTATAGTTTATTGAAAGGAAAATAAAAATTGAAACTGAAAATATAGATTTGA